AGCAGACATTTCGACTTGTCACAGTAGAAAAGTACAAGTGTTACTAATAACACACAACATTTACAGCGGCTCTGTTCTATTCAAGTGTCCCAGCAAGCCATGACAGTGTGACAGTGAGGCAGCATGCACAATACCACAACCCTGACACTGAAGCAGCTAAATGGAATTCAGCCACATTCATTTTATTATATACACCTGTGCTTTTCCTAGTGTGACATGCCAAAATGTCTTCCAGGAAAAAGGTCTAAATATAAGAAACCTATAACGGTATGATAGTCCTTGTCCTATTGTGCTTGTCCTATATCATAAAGGAAAATATGTAAATAAATAAATGAGAAATGTGATCTGGTTGGAAATGTGACTTTTTCCCCCAATTCTTACATGTACATACTTGTGAGCTGCATAATACAAATGCTTAAAGCAGCCGTAGATAACTTTTTGTCCTATTTGCTGAAACTTCACTATATCATGACAGTAGTACATGAGACAGACAATGTGTAAAAAAAATCAGGTAGAATAAAAGGCCTGAATAAGCAACCAATCAGAGCAGAGAAAGATTGCTGATTGTTGACCTTTAATTTGCATATGTAATGTGGACAGCACCTACATGCAGCACTGTTAGTATGTTAACTGTTTGTTCAATACTTTGTCTGACCTTATTGAGTTTTAATTGGTTCATTGTAATGATTGTTGTTTTATGTGCTTACATCTGACATGAAAAGCTGTTTGCCCATCAAATTTCCGCTGTGGAGTAATAAAGTACTGAATATTCCTCAAAGACGATCATTCATTCATCGGAGCACTGTAATAATAGTTCACCCCTTCTCTTGTTAGCTGACATTTGCCTCTCATGATTGCTGCTGAGTATCTTCGATTGTTCCACCGAAGACTTAAATCTTTTCTATTTAAGTACCCATTAACTGGCGGCCTCTCAGATCCTAATGGGACTCCTAATTAGAACTTTGTTAAAGGCAGGTGCATGGGAAAGGTCATCCATTAAGCCTGTACAGTAGAGGTTAAACACTTGTATACCGTGAGATGCAAGGATACACTTTAACACAAACACGAGCTGTTCAAGAGCTTTTATCAAGATTTCCAATTAGACCCAAAACAACTTCATAGCCATTTATCAATTCATTATACATCTATTCCTGTGTTAAATGCTAATTACATTGTAAAATAGGTAGGTAGCTGGTTAGGACAGGTATTCCTTTTAAGATATTTATTCAGGATATAGACAAAATGTATGGTCCAGTCCTGGGTATTTTTAGTTCTGGGTTTAAGGACACAAGCTGTGAGTCTATGTATGTATATGTGGGCTAGATAAGATTGAGAAATTGAAATGTGTAATTGAGAATGTAAAACAATTCTTTATAGTAAAACTGCAAGAACATGTTAACAGAAAAATGCTAAAAAACATAAAAAATATCCAACTTACTCACAAAACTTAACTACTAATAATGTATCAGGTATTACACATAAACTAAATGAAATAAACTGCAGTGACAGGCATTAGTCTGGCTAAGAACTCACTCAATAACAACACTTCTTAGCAAGAGCCAGTCTACTCCTCTGTACCCATTCATGCTGCCACCTTGTGGCGACAACACAGCAGAAGATCTGGACTCTCTGAATATTACAAAAATATTAGAGCACATTTGCCTCAAAACTGTAATACAGAACAATAACATTCACTTAACGTATGTCATTAATGACAGACACTAAGAAAAACAGGAGGTTCACTTACACACTGCAACTGCATTATAAAACTATAAAACTTCTTTACATTAACCACACTGCAGGAGTTGTCTGCCAACTGCTGAAAGGGCTTTTTTTCTGCATGGGAGGGGCGGTGGCTCATTACTAGCCTACTGAAACTGGCCCATGGAGTGTAAAGGAGTATGACTGTTATTTTGTGCATATTATCTAATCACCCTTTTACACATACTGTAGATAGTTATACTAAATTTACAGTTGCATTTGACCGAAAACTATCCGCCTGTAATATGCTGCACTTGTGTTTGGGGCTTATATCACAACATTACCCTATGAGTTCTCTCTTCATCCTGCAAGCACAACCAAAATCAATCAATATTTATCACCTCAAATGATGCATAAAAACAAAAGGGATCTAAGCACCTATCAGTGAGCAGGATATGCAATTACTGGCGTTTGTGCTGCTCTTTAAACACCACAGACACACACCAATAAGCTGCATGTTTAGGTGCATTAATTAAGCCAAGCACAAACAACAGGCACATAAGCTGCCTAATGCCCCACTGTAATCACCACAATATATTACATAACCAATTATGCTTATGAGGTCATTAATTAAGCTAAGTAACACAATACATAACAGTGCACCTATGTTAGCGTAGTTACTTGCACAAAATATATGAGCAGTATTCATATAAAGTCCAGATATTTAAATGTGGAAAATTGGAAAGAATAGTTTTTCATCATATTTGTGAAGCAACATCATCTATTGCTATGTTTTGCTCTTTAGTTACTATTCAGAAATGTGTACTGTGCTGGTGGCACATTACAATACCAAAGCGTCAGAGCACAGACCCAGCGGACACCCAAGATCCGAACGCTATCTTGTTACAGGCAAAGCCGTTGTCTTTCCTGCACCTTCACGCTGCGTCCACCTGACTGTGAGTCAGTGTACAACAGCGGACCACTTCACCCGTCCTCCCCTTCCTCTATAATCTGATAAAAGGCCTGAAAAAACAGAGGAGCTGGTTAAAACGCCGCAATGCAAGATGAAAGCGCGGCTCTGCATGAATAGCCTTTAAAATGGCTGTGGTAAGGAATGGTGGTTAGAGGGGGTGAGAGAGAGAGAGAGTAAAGGAAAAGGAGAGAAGGATAGTGGGTGTTCTGTGAGTCCGGATAGAGGCACAGTGTTTCATCCTGCCTCCAAGAAACCAGGGGTTGGCTCAAACACACACACACACACACGCACACGCACAGGGACACTGATCAAAGGCTGACACTACAGAGAAGACTGCCTCCTTTTCTCTCTCTCTCTCTTTCTCTCTCTCTTCCACACACACACGCACACAAAGACAGAGGAATAATGCAAACACATCCAATTCTCTCCCAACCGCACATGTAAACAGGGCACACATAGGAGTGTGCACACACACTGCATATGTATAATCATTCAAACATTCAAGCGCCCACGCAGACCCGGTGCACGCACCCTTTTTCCTATGTATTTTGAGCAAACACACAAACTCTTTAGTGTATCTATCCTGCAGTCACAATGAAGCAGCAATGGGCCTTTTATGTGCCATCACAATGATTTGTGTTTGTACGCAGAGGTGCATACATCCGTGACTTTGAGCCCAGCCATACATGTGATTATGATTTGTGTGTGAACTGTGTGGCTGCTGGGTGACAAACAGTGCTTCTAACACACTATATCCCATGTGAATTCATTGTTAGAGGTTGACATGGGTGCCAGAGCTCTGTGTGTGTGTGTGTGTGTTCTTGGCAGCATAGTAATTATTGTCTATCAGAGGAGTGTGTGCGTCGTCCAGGGAAATGAACAGATGTGGGCGGCTCGAAGCATCTGAATAATGTATAGGACACACACATTTTCAGCGCACACACCTCAGCTTGTGCCCGGTTCTTTCGAAGGTGATGAAAGCCACCTGTCTGTTAGATAGGCTCCACGTCCCCAAATTATTACAATTACAGCAGCGTAGCTCACTGTTTATGCCAGCGCCGCCACGCTAAACGCTAAAAGCCATTTCTAGAGGGTCACGCCAAATGACGC